TTAGTCAAGTATTTTAACACATACTGTATACCCATTAGCTGTGACAGAGAAGACTGAGGCTCTGTGCAAACAGACATGGTTAGCCTGGGAAGCGCTTTTTTAGAACAACCCACAAAAAATTTCATTTTCTATTTCTGAAATACATGGAAAATACTTCAAGCTTACAAATGTGTCCCTTTTTACTTATTATTAATGAAAGGGGAGATGAGACAGCTGAATGTATTACAAATATTAGAAGGCAGTGTTTTTTATTTTTGATAGTTTTGTTTATTTGGTATAGGGCGTGTGGGCTTGAGGAGAAACAGGGAGAGATAGGCAGAAAGTGAGAAATCACCCCCCCATGGGGGATGCCACACTACAATCCCTTCTCCTCCATTCTCTCTTGGGATTTTGGGCACACACACACACACACACACACACACACACACACATGTGCCTGGCATGATTTTCAAGCCACTGGATCCTGAACTCTTTCTCCCCCTGGACATGTGCAGTGGTATATGGCATGCCCTGGTCCAGAGCTCAGCTGAGTGAGACCTGTGAACGGGCAGGGTCTCATGGCCAGCAGAGAGCTGGGGCATTCCAAGGGCAGAGCTCCCCACACACAGACACTGCACCCCCGTATCCTTCACTGTGCCCAACTCAAAGCCTGTATTTCTCTGCCTGTGTTACCACCAGACAGCTGCTCAGACTCTTGGCAGCCAAGTGGGACATCAAGAATCTTTGACCAGAACAGCAGATGTGGTAATAGTTAGGTTGCTGGACTCCCACATAGTCGACCGCGGTTCAAGTCCTGGACCCAGCAGCTTCAAACTCACGCCAGGCGCATGTGCGTGTGTGCCCAAGATCCCAAGAGGAGAATTGGAGGAGAAGGAACTGTGGCATGGCCCTCCCCCTGGTGGGAGAGTTTTTGTTTTCTGTCTCTCTGTCTGTCTCTGTCTCTCTGGCAAGTGCACATGCCCTATAGCAAAAAATCTCTCACCATGGGGCATCAAAGCTGAGGCAGTGCTTGCCAGTTTATTTATTCCAGAAGCCCACCTGGTTTTTAATTCCAACCAGTTAGCATCATTAGCACTCCCCAACAATCTACCTTTTGAGAACAAAAATATAGGTTATGTGAGGGATCAGTAGAGATTTTGAAGCCAAGATATGTTAAAAGAGAACCTTCAACACCATAAGTACAAAGGGAATTTATTAACATTATTAAAAGTTCCAGTTTTGAGTTGGCTCTGTGGTACTGTGGTTATGCTTGTTCATCTTGTATGTGACTGTGGTTCGAAGCCCTGGTTCAATCAGGCTGGATACACTGGGCATGTCTGCAAATGCTTAAGATCTGACATGCTAGAGGACTAGAGGAAGGGAATCACGGTGTGAACAGACCTGTATGAGGTGCTCATCCTTCTCTCTTTCTCACTCTCTCTGTCTCTCTCATGTGTACACATGTGCTCTATCATCACAAATTAAGAAAAAAAAATGTTTAAAAAGATCATACCTTTCATACAAGGAGAAGCGTGAAGGTGATTTTTAGGACTTAGGTGTAAAACATATTCATGTTCCAGTCAGGTCCATGTTTCGTTTTTGTCGATTTTAGCTTCTACATAGTCTCAGTTTTTTCAAATGCATTCTTAAATATTATTCAGTAAAATAATATTTGGCTCTCTTGAGTTCTCCTAAGGCGTATTGCTGGATGTGCTCTTCAGTGGTATGCTTTCTTCCAGGCATGTGTCGTGCAGCCGTTCGTGGGTGCACTGCCGCTGTGTGTCCATCTCTTCTTGGCCTGAACATCCGTGTGGTGACTTTCCATGAACTGGGTTCACTTCTTCTGTCTGCTTGCCCTGCCTCACCATTTCTTCTCTACTCTCACGTGTCCTTAGTGAAGGTCAGCCCTAATATCTTCTCATAGATGAGTAAATTTTAGCCCTGCAAGAGACCTTAAAAATCACCTAATTTACCTACTTATGTGGCCCAAAGAGATTATGGGACCTATCTAAGGCCCTCTATTAGCTAACATTAGAAACTGGAATTTTACTAGAGACAGACAGACAGACAGAGAGAGAGAGAGAGAGAGATGTTTCCTGAATCCTTGAGCTAAAGTGAGATGTTTGGCAAGAGGATTGATTGGTTAGCCACACCTCCTAGGATAGTATTTTGTGTGGAACTGGAGGTTTTCAAGTTCTTTATAAATGGTTTCACTAGTTTTTGGAACATAGTTAGCAAAGTAGGACATTCTCAAAGTTTATGAAGTCATGAAAGTCACACTTGAATATTATAGATTTTTTGTTCTAAGTTGCTTTCTGTGTTTAATGAGAATGTGATGAGATCTAAGTTGTCCCTATTTCAAACTACTGGAAACTAACTGGTGCTTTTTCTGATGCTTGTTCACTTTGAAATAGAGACAAGACGTGGGAAGTATAAGTTTGCTTTTAAAACATTTTTCATGTGACGCCATGGTTCTATAGGTGTTATCTCTGGCATTATAATACAGAACGAGGTACTGCAATCTGTAAAGCTGGGCTTCAGCTTCTGACTTCAAGTGTAAAATGCGAGTCCTGGACATTGCTCCTGCAAGAATCAGATTCCAGCATATTCCTCCTTCGTGTCCACAGCTTTTCAGAATAGATTGATTCCTGAAATGTAGGAAGTGGCTCTCTCTCATATTCAGCAGCTCTCCCCAACAAATCATTGTTTTGCCCGGACTCCTGGGGATGAATAGGATTTGGGTGGTGGCATCTCTGGTGTGTCTTCATGCCCTGCTGAGTTGGGTGTGCAGCGGACCATGGATATGAAACTCCTTATCACAGAGGAGTTGATACTAAACATACTTAGTTTCTGGGATTAGAAAGATCTGCCCAATTCAACAAGTGACTCAAAAATGGTCTTGCATTTCCTAATCATTAAAAGCGTGATTAATGTCAGCAATTAGTTCTCGTGATTAAACTGTGAAAATTAGGAATACAGAAGTAGTGCAAGGCAAGGAGCCATAAGATATGACCTGAGTGTGAGCTCCCAACCACAGACAGATATATTCCAGAAGAGTGGCCCATGGTGGCAGACCCCTTCTGATGCTGTAAAACTATCCATGAGACTACTGTTACATAAATGGGCCACTGTCAGAGTCTGTGTCCCTTGGGGGGCACAGACTGTGCGTATGTGGGTAATACATGGGAGGCAAGAATGTTCTTGTCCATCACACTAGGAATGGTTAGTTCCAAGAGACCCTTGAGAAGATTTTACATTTTGCTGTGCAAAATTTCAGCTGAACCAAAAGACAAAGTGACCTAGTTTTTATTTCCTCGGCAGCTATATTTTATTTTTCTCAAAGTTACCCAGGGGGATTTTAGAGAAATTGAATGCTGATAGATAAAATTTAAATTTCTTCCCCAAACTCAGTTGACTTATTCCATACATTCTGCATTTTATATTTTAAAATTCTAAAATTGACAATATGGTTTTATTTATTTATTTATTTATTTATTTTTGCCTAGATGTTGGGGAAAAAAATAAAAGATTAGTGTTGGCTTTGATAAATAATGATGTTGACGTTAATGTAAATGTGAGTTCTCTGGGGCCATTTCCACTCTAAGGCCAGTTGTCTATCAATATAATATTGATTTTGCTGGAATTAATTCCTTCCTTTCTATCAATATAATATTGATTTTGCTGGAATGAATTAATTCCTTCCTTCCTTCCTTCCTTCCTTCCTTTCTTTCTTTCTTTCTTTCTTTCTTTCTTTCTTTCTTTCTTTCTTCTTTCTTTCTATGTTTGCTATAGGGCACATGTACTTGCTGGAGAGAGAGAGAGAGAAAATGAGAAATCACCCCTTAGGGGAATGACCATCTTGTAATCCCTTCTTGTTTGTTCTCCTCTTGGGATTTTGGGCACATGCACACACATGCCCAATCCATTTTTGAAGTTTTGGGTCTGAGACTCAAACCATGTAGTCAGCCATGTGAAATCCAGTCACTTTAACCACTACACTACTGGCTTGCCCATAATTCTGCTAGGATTTCAAACAGGATGTTACTTTTAATTCTACTTAGCTAGTTTTCGACGGCCATTATGTCAAGAAAATGCAAGGTCTGTTGTATGTGTTGGTTTGTAATATAGTTAACTGCACACAGCTTTGCCAGCCAAGTTCAGAGTAATTTGTAGAATCCTCAGGTGGAAATTGCTTATTCAGAAACTCTGTTTCTGAACAACATGAGAGGATAAAACAACCAGATCCTACAATTCAGCATTAAGTCTCTGCGACAAAAGTTATTCTAGACATTGACCTTATTTAAAGCATGATCTATATATTCTTCAACTTGAAGGTACTTCATTTCTCACATGTGCATTTTCATCACCTCACTGCCAGCCAGTTACAACCTATATGGTGATACCAGCATTTCATTATTTATCCCAACCATTTATGGTAGGAATTTTCTCTTGCTTCTCAAGCTTTACAGCCAAATGTGTTTATTTAAAATTAAAATGTAAACTTCACTTGATCCCAGTGGTTATGAATAACTCCTCTACTTTAAAAGCAAACTGTTAACATAGCTGTGAGTATCTAGTCCGTGTCAGAGTAGAGTTGGAGTAATCTCCCTGCTCTCCATCCCCAACCAAACGGAGGAGGCTCCTAGGTCAACACCCAAAGACCTATGTGATCCATAAGAGAGCTGAAATCTCAGATTCTGAGAACTTACTTGCCATTTAAATGTTGTTTCTAGGAATATTTTCCCTCAGAATTCCATCTAGGCAACTTGCCAAGTAATTTTTAAAGTTAACCTCTGTCTGCTCAACCTACTACCCCACATGATACTCATCTAGGTGTATGCCATGTTGTTCTGGACTTTACCAGTTCAGGCCTACCAGGGGAAGAGCGAGCCCGAGGGAGATCCCAGCTCTCGGCCTTGTTTCCCAACTACTGAGCGTGAGTGGCTCCATGTGGAGTCCTGGGTGTTGCGAGGAATGCATGATCAATGTTAACTGCATATTAACTCTTTTCCCCACCTTAGGATGAGTCCAGCACCACCACTTCAGACACGAATGATACCTCCATGACCACAACCAGTGCCTTTACCATCCAGGAGTATTTTGCAAACCAGATGGCCAAGCTGAAGAACAAGCCACAGTCCCTAGATCTGGGGCCTGATTTCGCAGAGACCCAAATAGAATGGAAAAATGAAAAGAAAAGAAACAAAGACACAACAGGTAAAAGTATAGAGAATTACCCCCAACCCAAGGCTAAGCAGTCTAAAAAGGAGAAGCCAGAGGAAGAAGAGAAGAACTATAAGCTTATAGCCAAGAAGAAGAGAAACCACGCCGAGCTGCAGCCTGGAGGTCCCCTCCAGGAGGAGAGTTACAATGCTTCAAATGAGGGGGCAGAGGACTGTGTGGGGCCGCCCGATGGCCATGATTTTACACTGAAAGCCAAAAAAAAGAGACAAAAGAAAAAATTGCAAGAGCTGGTGGAGGTAGCAGTGGACTCTACACCAGATGAAACACCAGTGAAAAAGAAGAAGAAAAAGAAGAAAGGTTCCAAGTGAGTTCTCCCGAGCCAGGGCCTTCCAGCCATGCTGCTGTCAGGGTGCTGCTTGGGCAAGCACCCATGGCCCGGAGTCAGAGCAGAGTTAACCCCAGATGGTTTGTGCACATCTTTGAACATGCCCACGGCTGCCGAGTCTCGCCCTCTCACCACATTTTCCCCAAGTCATATTCCCAGGAGAACTGTTTTTAATATTCTAAATCATGACTTTCAGAAACAAATAAATTTCTTTTAAAGCTCTGAGCCCCCTACCATGAGCGTTTGTTTATTTCCATCTGAATACATTTAGTCATATACATGTACATGTGCGTGTGCGTCAGTATCTTGGACTGTATTTACTCTTATTTCCTTCAGTAACAGTGAATCGTGCTTCCTTCTGAAGGACTTAGTCTAATTAAAGGATTAAGAGGCAATAGTTTGCATTCAGATAGTTCCTTTTGTTCTTTAGCCAACCGTACATTTTTGCCAAGTAGGAATTATATGATTACATTCCCCGATGAGAGTGTTTTTATGTTTTGTTGTGTTGTGTTTTGGTTTTGATGGGGAAACTCTTTTAATGCTCTCTCTTCCACTGAGTAGAGTTGGAGTAATCTCCCTGCTCTCCATCCCCAACCAAACGGAGGAGGCTCCTAGGTCAACACCCAAAGACCTATGTGATCCAAAGAGAGCTGAAATCTCAGATTCTGAGAACTTACTTGCCATTTTGAGATCTTTCCTCCATGAGTACAAAGCTTTTGAAGTGGACTGATTCTGGGGACAGATTTTGTTTTGTTTTGTTTTTTGGAGAGGTTTTTGCTATAGGGCACATGCACTCACACGAAAGACAGAGAAAGATAGGGGAGACAGAAAGTGAGAAATCATCCCCAGGGGGGATGGCCACGCCACAATTCCTTCTCCATTCTCCTCTCGGGATTTTGGGCATGCACACACACACACGCCTGGTGCAAGTTTAAGCCATCGGGTCCAGGACTCGAGCCACGGTTGACACATGAGAGTCCAGGGACATAGCCATTACGCTAACTGCTGGTCCTTCGTTTTGTTTTGTTTTTAGGAGAGATTTTTTGCTATAGGGCATGCGTGCTCGACAGAGAGACAGAAAACAAGAAATCACCCCCCACGGAGGATGCCACCTCACAATCCTTTCTCCTCTCGAGATTTTGGGCGTGCACACACATGTGCCCAGCATGTTTTAAGCCACTGGGTCCAGGACTTGAACCACAGTCCACTACATGGGAGTCCAGCAATGTAACCATTTATGCCATCTGCTGATCCCTTGCTTTGTTTTTATTTTCCAGAAGGCACAGGAGCTAGAGAGAGGGAGAAAGTACTGGGCAGGGTCACCACAATCTCTCCCTTCTATTTATCCATCACGTCAGGATTTGGGGCACACACAGACACACCAGGCATGTTTCTCAGGATCCAGGTCCAGAACTCAAACCATTAGGTCGGTCAAGTAGGACCCCGTGCCCTTACCTCTAGGCCATGGGGCAGCCCAGGGGACAGTTTTAATAGAAGGCCTCATAAGAGACCTTATGGTTTCCACAGTGTAGATAGTTGATAAATTTCCATTTCTGGGGCCTTGAGAACACTACCTCTAGTGGGCTCTTTCTTCTTTATAATGATCAGGAGGTCCTTGGAAAGTTCTAGGAACTAAGAGGCAAATTTCATAAAATTAATGTCGTCTTGAAGTCAGTCAGTCTCTAGACTGGGACTCCATTATGAAAGTTCTTAAAAGCATAAGTATGAATGGTAAAAGACATTGTCCAGCTCTGCTCAAACCAAAGATGCTCCCTGGTCATGCTTATGCTGCCTCTGCCTCACCCTGGCCTGTACCCCTGTTGCTGGCCAAACTCTCCCTATGCAGGTTCTGGGCTTTACAGTGCAGGCCTACCAGAGGGAAGAACCCAGTATGCAGAATGAGGTTGAGAGGCCCAGCCCTATCTTTGCCTCATGTCCTCTCTGCTTTATTCACTTCATCTCTTCCTTCCAGTCTTCGTTCTGCTATGCTTTTATTCCCTCTTTCTCGCTGTCGCTTTATTTCTAGTTCCCAGTTCACCTGCAACCCCTTTCTAGAGCCACCTCCCATGCGGTGGTGCAGCCTTGCTGCTGGTTGGCCCTGCTTCTGAGGGATCTGTCAGGGTAGCCATGGGTGTGGCAGGGAGGCGGTGCTGTGTGTCCCACTGATTTATACATCACTGTGGGTAACAGGAACTCAGACTCACTGGCCCTCTGGTGACCTTTTGCCCTTGACTTAAACTCTTGAGGTCAAACATTAAACAGGAAGCATGGTCCCAAGATTTTTGAAACTGAGAAAATACTTGAACAATGTTTGATTTTAGTCTCTAACAACATTTGACAGTGCTAATTGTTTAAGAAGACACCACACCCACACACACATACACACACGTACAAACACACACACACACACACAGAAGATTCTTATGAATTCAGAGCTTGAGGCCAGTCTCTGAGTTTTATCATGTCTCCCAGAGTTTTTAATCCTGGGCTAATAAAGCCATAACTTTTTTTTTTTTTTTGAGAGGTTTTTGCTATAGGGCACGTATGCTCGCCAGACAGACAGAGAGACAGAGAGACAGAAAGCGAGAAATCAACCCCCCACGGAGGATGGCCATGCCGCAATCCCTTCTCCTCCATTCTCCTCTCAGGATCTTGGACACGCACGCACACGCGCCCGGCGTGAGTTTAAGCCACCGGTTCCAGGACTCGAACCGCGGTCGACTATGTGGGAATCCAACGACATAGCCATTACACTAACTGCTGGTCCTGAGCCATAAAAATGTTTTAAAGTCACTTTCCCCACAGAGGGCAGATGCCCAAGTTATCTCTGCTTGTCCTATCTTATATATGAAACTAGAAGGGGGTGGGAATGTGTAAAGCCTAAAGGAAGCCGTTGTTCAAAAATATCTAGAAGCTGACCATTTTTGCCTTTTGTTTTATTAACTTCTTTTAAAAGAATTATGTATTTAATTGTATTTATTATTATTACTAAGTGGACCAGAGAGAGAGAAAGGGAAAGTGAGAAAGCAAGCCACCAGGTCTGGGACTTGAACCATAGTTGGCCACATGGGAGTCCAGCACCTTAGGCACCATGCCACTTGCCTAACTTTAACCTTTACCTATAAACATGAGAGCCAGGAGATGAAGCCAAATTGTGTGCAGGAGTGTTTAGAAGGCAGCTGAGATGCAGTCAGGTCAGCTGTGGTGGGGGAAGGGAAAGACCAGAGGAGGTGGTGTTGAAAGAAAGCTGGTAGTTCTTGGAGTTAGGAATTCAATAGCAGCCAGACCACAGGATTATTCTGGTGCGACTTTTATAGAGAAGGCAGGATGTACTTACTACTATTTTAATGGCCTGGAGAAAGGACTCCTGTATGGTTTTTTTTTTTTTTTTTTTGAGAGTTTTTTGCTATAGGCCCCGCACGCTTGCTAGAAAGACAGAGACAGAGAGACAGAAAGCGAGAAATCGTCCCCCCTGGGGGGATAGCTACTCCACAGTCCCTTCTCCTCCATTCTCCTCTCGGGATCTTGGACACGCACACACACGCGCCCAGTATGAATTTAAGCCACCAGGTCCAGGTCTCGAACCACGGTCAACTACATGGGAGTCCAGCAACATAGCCATTATGCTAACTGCTGGTCCTTACCGTTTGCATTGAAGGAGATGGAAGTTATTTTCTTAAGAAATCCTCAGCTTCCAGGCCAGCCTCATAGCACAGTGGTTAAGCCTATACATAGTGAGCTGGATCCCACATGGCCAACTGAGGTTCGAGTCCTGGCCCCATGGCTTGAAAAACATGATGGGCATATGGGTGTGCATGCTGAGTCCTGGCAGGACGGAGGAGAACAGATTGCAGCATCCCCATGCTCCATTACTAGTGCTCTCTCTCCCTTTGGAGAGCGCATGTGCCCTCTGGCAATTAAAAAAGAAAGAAAACCTTTCATTTTTTCCAGTGCCTTTTTTTTTTTTTTCTTCTTGCTAGAGGGAGGAGAGAGAAAGGGAAAGTGAAAAAGCACAGACACACCCCTCCCCCCCAATTTGAGGTCATTTAGTTTTCTGGATGAATCTAAGTGGAAGTTAGAAGAATGAATTAAGGGAACCAGCAGTTAGCATAATGGCTATGTCGCTGGACTCCCACGTAGTCGACCGCGGGTCGTGTCCTGGACCCGACCCGGTGGCTTAAAACTCACGCCGGGCACATGTGCGTGTGTGCCCAAGATCCCGAGAGGAGAATGGAGGAGAAGGGATTGTGGCGTGACCATCCCCTCTGGGGGGTGATTTCTCGCTTTCTGTCTCTATGTCTCTCTCTGTCTGTCTGGCGAGCGCACGCGCCCTACAGTGAAAATCTCTCAAAAAAAAAAAAAAACTTAAAAAAAAATAATAAAAAAAAAGAAGAATGAATTAAGTGCTCTATGAATTACATTCTATAGGCTTGATTCAGCAATTCCCCCTTATCTGCAGGAGGTACATTCCCAGACCCCCGTGAATGCCTGAGACCATGGATGGTCCTGTACACTAGGTATGCTGTTTTTTCTCCATACATACACATACTTACAGTAGTACTGGATTTTTTTAAGAATTATTTATTTAATTTTGTTATTAGTTTGTCATTTGACTAGAAAGAGACAAAGAGAAAGGGAGAGTGAGAAAGCAAGCTGCCAGGTTTGGGACTCGAACCTCGATCAGCTACATGGGAGTCTAGCACCTTAGCCACCACGCCACCTGGCTTCAGTAATGAGTTAAATTAGGCACAGTAAGAAATTAACAACTCATAACAGGACAATTCTAAAACTGTAATAAAAGCTATGTGAATGTGGTCTCAGGATGTTTTATTATACTGTAATCCAACTTTAGTACCTCCGTTGACCTTGGGTAACAGAAACTGCAGAAAGAAACAGTGGATAAGGGAGGACTGCTTCTAAAATGGTCAGCATACAAAGCCCACATTTGTGCCTGAGTTATTTAACTAGGTAAAAAATACATTCATTTATATGTTAGTCAGTGCTTTTAGGGGCATCCTTCAGTTTTAAGAGAAAATGTTGGTTCCCAGGAGAAAATTTGTCCAATGAAGAGGCTCTTCCATGTTGTCTTGTAGCAGCTTTCTTTATCCATTTTAATAGATGATGATTATGATGACTACGATGACGACTTTGAAAGTCTTACGTACTTGGCCCTATTCCAAGCACTGTAAGTACATCAACTCATTCAGTCCTCAGACAACCCAGTG